TTATCTCATTAAACATACAAGTATAAGCTAAATTCCCCTTTAGTGATTAAATTCTTATTAGATCAATAGAATTGCTTATTCTTAATAAAATGCACCTTCATATAAACATAGGTTAAGCATATTCAGTAAACTTTATTGACAAAGTAATTTTTTGTTTTTTATTGAGGTATAATTTATAAATAACATTATATTAGTTTCAAGTATATGACATAATGATTAGTATTTGTATATGTTACAAAATGATCCTTACAATATGTCTAGCAAACATTCATCACCATACATAGAAGCAATTTGTGTGTGTGTTTGTGTGTGTATTTGACGAGAGTTTTCAATCTACTCTCTTAGCAACTTTTGAATATGCAATACAGTATTATTAGCTGTAGTCACCATGCTGTACGTTACATCCCCATGACTCAGAAATTTTAGATAGAAACATTTGATGTTTGACATTAGTGGAAGGGAGGAAAAATTTTCCCTTCCCCCTGTTAGGGTTCCTGGCTGGGTCTGAAAATTTAACTGACAGAGACAGATTAATAGGAGAAAAATGTATACATTTATTTAATGTAAGTTTTAAAGGACACAGGAAGCCTTTGTAAGGAAAGGAAGACCCAAAGAAACCGTATTTAACATAAAATGTGATGTTTGATGAAGTGGACTGTTGTGTAGAAATACAATAGTTCAAAGAGTAAATGTAGTAAACGGGGAGATTTAGCAGGCCCTGTTCGTTAGGATTTCTTTCCCTTCGTCTTTAGAGATACCTTCTAGTATAAAGAGGACACCTTTCACAGAAACATTTTTATGACCTGTTTCAGGTGAGAAAGGCACAGAGATCAGAGTGACCTTCCTGCTTCTGCTGTTTTCTCAAACTCCTTTAGTTTAAAATACTAAGTATTCCTGAGTACCGTGTTTTGTCCTGAACTCCATCAGTTGTTTGTCTCTGTAAACCCTAAAGGAGAAGTATGTAGTAAAGACCTATTGATGTTTGAATTCTGAGATGAGTATATCCTAATATATTGAGAAATAGTATAGTGCAGTATGAGTACAGAATCAGTTTATGGAAAATGGGGATGATAATAGTACATGCCTTAAGATACATGAAGATGAAATGAGAATAAGCATATAGTTTATATGAAGCATTTAGCACAGTGCCTGGTGCACATGGTGATTAAGTAAGAATAGTCAGATTTTTTTTTCTTTACCTGCTAGGGAAGTACTTACCCTTATTGTCAAACACTTTAAGAATATGATATAATTTGAAGAGTTAGAAGCAGTGCCTTGCAGATTCATGTTGGAGCCTGAGGCAAAAGAGAAAAATTAGTCATACTGATTCTGTCTTTATTTTTCAATTAACTATGGATTAATGAATTATTTTTCCAAGAGTTTGATTTTTTACAAAAATGTTGCATTAATATATTTAATTTGATTTCTGAAGGGTTTTACTGTGTCTGAGGCATTTGCCTCACTGGCTTCAACTTAGTCTTGGCTCTGGGTAGAAGTAATCTAATACTCTAATGGAGCCTTCTGCCTAGGGCAAGAATTTATTATTATTTTGCAAAGAATTGATAGCATTAATTAGAAGTCATTCTTATTCTATTGAGGTGGGCTTTTTTTTTTTTAAGGAAATTAATGTTAGCCTCGTAGTTGGAATTACCTCTGTATGTATGTATGTGTTCTTTTTTTTTTTCTTATGTGTATGTATTCTTAATAAAACTAGCCTTGAGAATTTTCACTAATTCAAAATTTGATCTTTTGCCCAGTTAGATTGAAATAATGAAGTCTGCACTTTATTGAAGCAAGTTTCTTCTCTAGTGTGTAACCTTAAGCAAATATAAAATCTGTAAACTTTAGAAAAATTAAAAGAACAACATTAATTGAAACAAAATATACTTAGCATAGATTGGAATTTTGATGTGGGAGAGTTACAGGAAAGTTAAACGGCTGGTTAGGGAGACCTGAAAATATCTTTGCACTCCCACTTTTCTACTTAAAATTGCATATAGTCAAGTTCTTAATTAAGAAACAGCTCTTAATCAGAAATTAAATAAATATCTTTGTTATATTAGAGTCTTTCTTGTTGATGAGCAGACTTATAAACCATAGTTCTTTTCAGTTCAGTTCATTAACTCAGTCGTGTCCGACTCTTTGCGATCCCATGGACAGCAGGGCTTCCCTATCCATCACCATCTCCCAGAGCTTGCTTAAACTCATGTCCATCAAGACAGTAATTCTATCCAACCATCTCATCCTCTGTCATCCCATTCTCCTCCTGCCTTCAGTCTTTCTAAGCAACAGGGTCTTTTCCAGTGAGTCAGTTCTTCGAAAGGTGGCCAAAGTATTGGAGTTTCATCTTCAGCATCAGTCCTTCCAATGAATATTCAGGGTTGATTCCCTTTAGGATTGACTGGTTGGGTCTCCTTGCAGTCCAAGGGACTCTCAAGAGTCTTCTCCAACACCACAGTTTAAAAGCATGAATTCTTTGGTGCTCACCTTTTTTTTATGGTCCAACTCTTACATTCATACATGACTACTGGAAAAACCATAGCTTTGACTAGACAGACCTTTGTCAGCATAGTAATGTCTCTGCTTTTTAATATGCTGTCTAGGTTTGTCATAATTTTTCTTTCAAGGAGCAAGCGTCTTTTAATTTCATGCCTGCAGTAACCATCTTCAGTGATTTTGGAGCCCAAGAAAATAAAATCTCTCACTGTTTCCATTGTTTCCCCATCTATTTGCCGTGAAATGATGGGACCAGATGCCATGATCTTAGTTTTTTGAATGTTGAGTTTTAAGCCAGTTTTTTTTACTCTCCTCTTTCACTTTCATCAAGAGGCTCCTCAGCTCTTCTTGGCTTTCTGCCATAAGGGAGGTGTCATTCTAAAATGGTTCTTTTAGGAGCATATAAATAGTTACTTTGAACTGTGGTATTGGAGAAAACTCTTGAGAGTCCTTTGGACAGCGCAGAGATCAAACCAGTCAATCCTAAAGGAAATCAACCCTGAGTATTCATTGGAGGGATTGATGGTGAAACTGAAGCTTCAGTACTTTGGCCACCTGATGTGAAGAGCCAACTCGTTAGAAAAGGCCCTGATGCTGGGAAAGATTGATGGAGGAGAAAACGACAGAGGATGAGATGGTTGGATGGCATCACTGACTCAATGGACATGAGTTTGAGTAAGCTCTGGGAGGTGGTGATGGACAGGGAGGCCTGGTGTACTGCAGTCCATGGGATCAAAAAGATTTGGACACAACTGAGCGACTGAACACACAACAACAACAAATGGTTACTTTTAGGATCATTTTGTAAAGTACAAAAGTGCTTGAGTTTATTTTTAAATTCACTATGTATAAAATTTGAGTAAGAAGGGAAGTGGGCCTTAAGAAGCATTACTACGAATAAAGATAATGGAAGTGATGGAATTCCAGCTGAGTTATTTCAAATCCTAAAAGATGATGATGTTAAAGTGCTGCATTCAATATGTCAGCAAATTTGGAAAACTCAGCAGTGGCCTCCAGACTGGAAAACGTAATTTCAAATTACAGTGTAATTGTGCTCATTTCACATGCTAGGAAGATTATGCTCAAAGTCCTTCAAGCTAGGCCTCAGCATCAGTATGTGAACTAAGAGCTTCCAGATGTACAAGCTGGATTTAGAAAAGGCAGAGGAACCAGAGATTAAATTGTTAACATTCATTGGATCATAGAAGAAGCAAGAGAATTCCAAAAAACATCTATTTCTGCTTTATTGACTGTGCTAAAGCCTTTGACTGTGAATCACAACAAACTGTGGAAAATTCTTAAAGAGATGAAAATACCAGACTAGGTTACCTGCCTCCTGAGAAACCTGTATGCTGATCAAGAAGCAATAGCTAGAACTGGGCAAGGAACAACAGACTGGTTCAAAATTGGGAAAGTAGTGCGACAATACTGTATATTGTTACCCTGCTTATTTAACTTCTGTGCAGAATACATCATGCAAAAGCTGGGCTGGATAAATATCAAGCTAGAATCAAGCTAGAATATCAAGCTAGATTGCCAGGAGAAATATCAACAACCTCAGATATGCAGATGATACGATCGTAATGGCAGAGAGTGAAGAGAAACTAAAGAGCCTCTTGATAAATGTGAAAGAGGAGAGTGAAAAAGCTGGCTTAAAACTCAGCATTAAAAAAGCTAAGATCATGGTATCCGGTCCCATCATTTCATGACAAATAGAAGGGGAAAACGTGGAAGCAGTGACAGACTTTTTTCCCCTTGAGTTCCAAATTCACTGTGGATAGTGACTGTAGCCATGAAAAAGACACTTGCTCCTTGGAAGGAAAGCTATGAGCAACCTAGACAGCATATTAAAAAGCAGAGACATCACTTTGCCAACAAAGGTGTGGGTAGTCAAAGCTATGGTTTTTCCAGTAGTCATGTGAGAGTTGGACCATAAAGAAGACTGAGCACTGAAGAATTGATGCTTTTGAACTGTGATGTTGGAGAAAACTCTTGAGAGTCTCCTGGACTGCAAGGAGCTCAAACCAGTCAATCCAAAGGAAATCAGTCCTGAATATTCATTGGAAGGACTGATACTGAAGCTGAAGCTCCAATACTTTTGGTCACTTGATGCAAAGAGCCAGCTCATTGGGAAAGACCCTGTTGCTGAGCAAAAGGAGAAGGAGGGGGCAGAGGATGAGATGTGTGGATAGCATCACTGACTCAATGGACATGAAGGAATCTGAGCAAACTCCAGGAGATGGTGAAGGACAGGAGAGCCTGGCATCCTGTAGTCCATGGGATCGCAAAGAGTCAGATAGGACTTAGTGACTGAACAACAACAACACATATATAAAATTTGATAGGAAAGCAGTGTAAATACATTCTGTTGAGTGTGTTTACAGAAGGGGATGTTTACCTGTGATGTATAAACTCTGAGAATTGAACGGGAATAGTTTGTTTTTAAAAATTTTTATAATGCTTTTACTAAACTTATTTTTGTTTGCATATTTCAGTGTCTAAAAATGACTACAAAAAGAAGTTTATTTGTGCGGTTGGTACCATGTCGTTGTCTACGAGGAGAAGAGGAGACTGTCACTACTCTTGATTATTCTCATTGCAGTTTGGAACAGGTTCCCAAAGAGATTTTTACTTTTGAGAAAACTCTGGAGGAGCTCTACTTAGATGCTAATCAGATTGAAGAGCTTCCAAAGGTATGTTAATCTGGTCTTTCAAGAATTGCCTTTGGTTATTTTTATGCCTAGAAGTATGGTATTCCCAGTGTTGCCATAATGCTAATACATATGTGTATATTATTGCCCCTGTTTTGGTTTAATTTCATCTTTAGGATATGTAACACAATTTAGATTTTTTAAATTGAATTTTTAACCTTTATCTCTTCAAGTTAGTTGCTTATTAATGCAAATAATTTAAAATTTCATGTGTAATTCCAGGCTTGTCAGAGCCAGTAAGGTAGGTAATGAAGTGGAGTGAAAGGCACCCTGCCGCGCCCCGCTCTTTGGGGCTCCATGGACTGTGCAGTCCGTGAAAGTCTCCCGGCCAGGATACCGGGCTGGCTAGCAGTTCCCTTCTCTAGGGGATCTTCCCGACCCAGGGATCGCACCCAGGTCTCCCGCACTGCAGGCAGATTGAATTCCTTACCAAATGAGCCACCAAGGAAGCCCCAGAATGCTGGAGTGGGGAGCCTATCCCTTCTCCAGGGGATCTTCCCGACCCAGGAATCAAACTGGAGTTTCCTGCATTGCAGGTGGATCCTTTACCAGCTGAGCTACCAGGGAAGCCCAAGGTAGATAATAAGACTCTACAGTTTCTGCAGCCAACAAATTTACCTAGACAAAGACTGAAATTAGTGTTTTTTCTAGTTTTCATGAGACTTTGATCTACATTAAAGTAATTGAAGATAAATTGTCCTTTTAGTTATCACATCAGAATTTTGTTTTTTAACAGCTTTGCAAAGGTATTGTTCTGTTTTCCCCATTTCAGTTTTGTTTGGAAAGGCTTTGGAGGACTTAATATTTCTGAAATGTAGGAACAACTAGCAGGAGAAAGTTGGTTTGTTGCCATGAAACATCCTCTCCCATTAACAACTTGCTTGCTAAAATATTTTAGTGGTTACTTCTTTTTTTCCCTTAAATTCTAACCCGACTTCATCCCCTACTCAGTTTCTTATTTTTGCAGAGAAAGTTGCAATAGTTTTACCACCCAAACAACAGTGTTTTTTAAGCTGTGGGTGTAGACTCATTAGTGGCTCATAAAAATCTATTTAATATATGGGGCATTTCCAAAAAATAAACTCTTATTTGGACTGGCGGATTTAGAAGACAAAAAATACAAGACATCCAATTAAATTACAATTTTCAAATAAAGAGTAATTTCAAATAAAGAGTAATATGTACCCTGTCCCCACACATGCATGGCTTCCACTGTTATCAACACCCCCCTTTGGTACCAGAGTGGTTAAACCATCACAGTAGTTAGAACTGATGAACCTGTGTTGAAAAATCAGAATCACCCAAAGTCCATAGTTTACATTATGGTTTGCTCTTGGCGATGTGCATTCTGTGGATAGCACAATGCATATAATGACATGTATTCATCATTATGCAATCAAACATAGTATTTTCAGTACCCTAAAAATCTTCTGTACTCTGCAAAGGTTTTTTTTGGTATGAAGCTTAGAAGTAGCCTACATACTTACTGCCTTTGGTTAAATATATTTAAGTCACATTTTCATTATTGTGATTTTAGCGTAACAGTATGTTTGCTCCCTTATTTTATTTTTCTCTCTCAAATCAGAATTCTATATTTTAATTCATTTAAAACCAATTTTACATATTTGAATTTATATGAATTATAAACTTGCATTTTAGAATAAGGATGCTTGAAACATAAGATTCAAAGTGAAAGTGAAAGGGTTAGTTGCTCAGTTGTGTCCGACTCTTTGCTATCCCATGGACCAGAGCCCACCAGACTCCTCTGTCCATGTAGTTCTCCAGTCAAGAATACTGGAGTGGGTAGCCATTCCCTTCTCCAGGGGATCTTCCTGACCAAGGGATTGAACCTGGGTCTTCTGAATTGCAGGCAGATTCTTTACCATCTGAGCCGTTGGGGAAGCCCTTTTAGTTTACTATATTTAGCAGCCACTTATTTCTTATGACCCTAACAGAATATACACCATATGGTAGATTTTGTTAAGTGCATTTTGCCTAGGGTAGAAGTGTGAGGATATAAATCATTCTGAGTAGTCCAATTGTATTCAGATCTGTAATAGCATAAAATAATAAGAGATCTTCTCTGGTATGTGTGTAGGTATAATTCATTCAGTTTTAATGACATTGATAATATTTGTCTTTCTAAAGGTTAATAAATGACATATTTAAGGAAACTGAAGGAATAATCAAAATCCTTCTCTACCTTGTTTCAACAGCAACTTTTTAACTGTCAGTCTCTACACAAACTGAGTTTGCCAGATAATGATTTAACAGCATTACCAGCATCTATTGCAAATCTCATTAATCTCAGGGAACTGGATGTCAGCAAGAATGGTAAGAGTCTTTCTTTCTAACTTTTGTGCTTGGGGACATGTTAAATAAATAAAATTTGTTTTGTATTTTACCAGATAAAAAAGGATTAAAAAATCAGATTATAGTCAGTTATATTAGGTTTATGTATATATGTATAAATCTATGAGAATTTAAAGCAAAGTGAAGAAAAAGTATAAACATTTTAAAATAGCTTTAATTGAAATGCTGTGGATATGTGCATGTACATATTTATGTGTCCTTAAATCTGCTTTTTTCATGTATTTATTTACTGCCATGTTTGTGATGGTGAGAAACAAGTAACAACTAACTGTAATGTCTGTTGTTGATCACACATTTTGAATGATCTGTAAGCATGGACTGTAATGTAGCTCCAAATGATACTGACATAAAATACTTACAGTGTAGTGTTAAAGTTTAAAAAAAGTTGTGCTACATTAATGAATTGAACATCAGCAAATACTTATTGAGAGACCACTCTGCGCCAAATACTTTATTAGGAGCTTGGATTACAAATTAATGATGAAAAGTGAAAGGACATAGTCACTGTTCTCTTGGGGTACACTGTCTTGGTTTTGTGTGCCTATTTTGATAAACATTAAAGTGTGGAAGAGATGTTCCAAATTGTTAACTCCTTACCTTAAAGTGAGAGAGAAGTAACACTTAAAAATTTTAGAGTGAGCATATTATAATATACTGGAATAATATTAGAATAAGCATTGCCCAAGACCAGAGAAATTCTTATACATCACCACAGTATCATTATCACTCAAGAAATTTGACACCATATTTTCCCCTGTTGCCTAATAATGCCCTTTTTAGCTATTTGCCCAGCCTATACCAAGTTAAAAATTACGTTTAGCTTTCAGTTGTGTCTCTTCGACACAGCCTGCCCCTCTTTTTGTGACATTGTTGTTTTTGTAGAGTTCAGATTAGCTGGTTTTTAATTGTTAAGAGTTTTCTTCTCATGATTTTATTCGAGGTTAATTAATTTCCTCAGCTTCTTCAAGGGCAGTTTGAAAGTTGTTTCCATTCCTCATGCTTAATAGAGTAGCAAGTATTGCGTAAATTCCAAAGTAAATGAACTTAGTCCATTACCATTGTAGCCGGACATACACTGACAGTTAAGTAGCATTGTTGAACTTTGGAATTGTGACCTTAGAAGTCATTAAGTGTAACCTTCCACTCTGAAGGGTTATCTCTTCTACTTTTTGGTGTTACTGATAAAATTACATACACCTGGGAAAGGCTAGTAAGCGATGTTATTAGTCTTCATAGTATGAAACTATTCCTTAGCTCAGTAATGCACATGCTTTATTATCCTCCTGAAAAAGCACTAATTCCAGACTGACTTCTCTAAACTGAGAATTGTGCAATTATGCCCTACAGTATCATTCAATCAATATCTTAGACTTTCACACAAAGAATACCATGTTTGAGTTATGACAACCCATTGGACGATAGTGTTTCTCTCTCTTTTTTTCATTCTAGCTTCAGCAATTCTTTGTGGGTTATTGAAAACCTGCTTTGTACAATTCTGTCAGCTTGTGAGCTTTTTTTGAAGAGTTAGAGATAATTTCTATGTGACCAAAAGATTTAGGATAAGCACTTAAGTATTCTGCTCTGAAAGAGAATGGCATTAGTTATAGTTGTCAATAAAACCTTACAGTTTATTTCACTAAAAAGCAAGTTGATTTTGTCTATTCTTTTCTTTCTGTGTGATCTCATCTATTTTTTAAATGGCAGAATCAGCCCTTGCCTTTTGCTTGTTTTCTTCTCTTCTTGGTCTTTTAACTAATGTTTCAATGCAACTGCATTTCATTGATGGTGAACAAAGTAAGTAGAGAGACAGGAAACTATGATTATGTCAGAACCATTACCTTGACTGACAAAAATTCTAGTACTTCTAATTCCTAATCTGATAGTCATCATTACAGCTGATGTAATTAACCCATTTTACTTTTATAGAGTTGAGACTATTTTAATTAACTGTGTAATCCTCAAGTATATGCTTATACATGTCTACATTACTATTACTTTTTGGCTATGCCTCATGGCTTGTGGGATCTCAGTTTCCTGACCAGGGACCGAGGCCACAGCAGTGAAAACCAAACCCAGAATCCTAACCACTAGGCCGCCAGAGAACTCCAAGTCTACATTATTGAAAACAAAAATATATTATGTATATTATAGGGTGATGTGGTTGATTATGAGAAATTTGAGTTTCATTAGTTGTATATTTAACAGCTTGCTTAAAAAAAAAGGATAGCATGCTAAATGAAAGCAGTGTTTATCAAATTATGGAATTAATTACATTTAGGATTAAGATGGCCATTATGTTAGAGATGGATGAGTTTCATCTTTTATTCTGAATAGGAAAATTGAATTACCCTTAAATACACCCCTAAATCGGAGAAGACAATGGCAACCCACTCCAGTACTCTTGCCTGGAAAATCCCATGGACAGAGGAGCCTGGTGGGCTACAGTCCATAGGGTTGCTGAATCGTACATGAATGATGCAACTTAGCAGCAGCAGCAGCAACACCCCTAAATATTTTCTCTATTACACCATCTCATCATGTTAAATGTTGCATAAGATGCTTTAATCTTGTATTGAAGTTCTAGTATTCTTCTCCTTTGAGGTGTTTTTATCAGTTCAGTCTAACGAAATTCTATTATATCTTAATATAACATATTTTTTTTCGTGTTTACTATCTATATGCTCCCTGCTTGGAAGGAGGCAGGAAACATTGTGGCATACTTTATTAGTGTTTCAGCAAGCTGTATTTATTTAAAAGCACTTATTTTAGGATTCTTTCATTTTTCTTAGTTTCTGCTATTTTGATACTTCTTCCAGTGTTTCTCACTGGCCAAGTAATATGGCTTAGTGATTAAAATATTTATTTAGAAAGAGAAAAATTGAATTGTATTTTGATCATTACTTCTTTGTTTATTTGCCATGTTGCTATATTTGGAAATTAATCTCATTCTCAGTTAGACTATACATAATTTCATCAATATTACCACTTCCCGTTCTGCCTCATGAGACTGCTAACCACATTGTGAACCAGTGTGTATACAGGAAGTATATAAATTTAAGGTGTTGATATTTTTCTTCATTTTGTAAGGAATTCACTTTTTATCATTTATATTTGATGATAAAACTAAAGTCTTAATTTATGAGTCTTAATTTATTCTTTTTCTTGTCTGAAGTTTTGGTTTATTGTTAGCTTTTTAAAGAAAGGAAAAGCTCACCAAACTGCTATGCCAAGCCACTGCAAATAGCAACTGGTGTTAGAGAAATTAACATTTAACGTCCATTGTGTTCAAGTGGCTGCTCTGCTTTTTTTTTCTTTTTTGCTGTACTATGTAGCTTGAGGGATCTTAGTTCCCTAATCAGGGATTGAACCTGTGTCTCCTGCATTGCAAGATGAATTCTTAGCTGCTAGACTGCCAGAGAAGTCCTGGCCTGTTTTCTTAAGCAGACTGATAGGGATGATGATTAAAATAATTTGCAGAAGGGGTTGATAGAGAAAGCTGATGGAGAGAGAAAAGAAATGAAGACTATCTAGCTGTCAATTCTCTCTATATAAGCACATTGAATGAAAACTAGGAATTTTAACAGAGAGAAGCCAAAAAGTAGCTCAGATCTTTCTGTCTGATATGGGAATGCTGGAGAGGTTAATTATGCCTTTTTTTTTTTTAATTATGCCTTTTTAAAACTGAGTCAAAACATTCAGAAAGAATGAGTTGAAAGTTTATGGGTCAAAACAGGAAGCAGTTCCTTGAATCTGAGAAAATCTGATGATTGGGGACAAAATACTGGAAAAGGCTCTTCACTTTTAAGTTCAAAGAAGTTATATTGATTACAAGGGAAATTATCGATTGCTGGGGAAGTCACTTATTTTTCTGTTTTAAAATTTCTAAAGTTGTTGATTTGCTTAGTAGTTAATGTTGTTTAAATTCAGCTGTTTTAATAAATCAGCTTATTTAAGATAATGAAAGAAGAAAAATCATGTGTTAAACTGACATGGAACTTAAAAAACATAGTCTGGTGATCACTGGTCACTGCTAAGTGTGTTGTTTATATAGACCATAAGTGGGGTGTACAGTCACTGTGCCTTACCATAGGCCTTAGCTCTCACTGTGTTATACCTGATGCTAACCATACATCTGTTAGCCCCTAGCCAGTATAATCATTTAAGTTTGCAATTTCTGGTTCAGACTCTTGACTAGAAATCAGTGTTACATTCTGTACTATTTGTTACCATAGCCTTTAAAATACAGAAACAGTAAAGAACCACTATTAACTTACGTTGTACATTTGGGTCATTGGAGTGATATTGATGCCCTCCAAACAAAGATCCTGTGATTGAGCCATGGGAATGGAAGGGGAGTCGCAGCAGGTGCTAAAAGACTTTATTACAGGATTTGGGCTTGTACTTGATGATTGGAAGAGGATTTAAGAATATGAGTGTTTGCTATGGATGGAATGCTGTCAAGAAGTATAATTATGTGATTGAGAATATTAATAAATGTTATCTATAGGGAGGGCAGATTAGAGCAAAGCTAAAGCTATAATCAATAAAGTAGCAGCAGTCACACGTTAAGGGATGGCTTGGACAAGATTCACATTTTGTCTTTGTTAAGTTGTGAATACAAATATGCTTTTGTGTTGATCTCTTGTGGTTAAAGAATGGCCTCCTTAAATATTGGTATTATGTGAAATTGCTTAGTTCAACAGGGAAATACCAAGGTCTCCCATTAATTGTATCTTGTTCATAGAAAGACCAAGGACTAGCTGATAGTACCAGGCCAGTTCTTAGATTAGATTTCAGGAGGTGTTTTCTCTTTCTCAGCAGTAAAAAGAGAACTCTTCTGTATAACCAAAATAGATTAATCTGAGCAGGATAGCCATGTTTAATAGTATCTTCACTTTATTAAATTTTAGCAACAGAGTCAAATTCTTATGAAAAGAGTATATGACAAAGAAAGAACACTG